ACCTATTTGGACGCTATTAAATTTATTAATTATCAGCATTCAAGCCAGCACGACACCCTACCCTGAGAGATGTCACATCTAAATTATTTGAACCTTTAAGTTATTATTCAAATTTATTTTTTTATTTAAATTTAATTTCAACCCCATACACCATTGTCAATCCTTTCATTGTAACGTCAAGCCTTTTCTCATTGCATGTTAATTGTTCATTTGTTTAAATAAAACACATTTTGTAATCCATATCTTTGTTAACTTATTAACTTTAAACATTTGTAGAATAGGCCTAGCCTAAAATGAATATTTTAAGGTGAATTTACATTACGCAGGACCTTTTCTGAATCACAACTTCTTGATTGTTGTAGATGCCAGGTCAAAGTGGCCAGAAATATATCCGATAAAAAGTGTGCCAACAACTGCCAGTACTATTCATTACCTCAGAGAAATATTCAGTCACCATGGCCTACCAGAAATATTGGTCAGTGACAATGCCACAATTTTTAAATCTGCAGAGTTTCAAGCATTCTGTAAACGCCAAGGAATAAGACAACGATTCATTGCACCAGGAAACCCCTCTACAAATGGTCAAGCGGAAAGATTTTGCCAAACACTCAAGACAAAACTGAGGTGCATGCAGTTTGAACAGGGCACTTTACATGAAAAACTATGTGCACTATTATTTCGGTACCGAGCTACACCACTGAGTACTGGTGCATCCCCAGCACAATTAATGTTTGGCAGGAACTTGAGAACCAAGCTAGATCTCTTAAGGCCTGGCGAAGATGACAAAAATTAGGCTCAACAACCAATATTTAACAAACATTACAATATTGGGGAGAGAGTACAATCAAGAAATTACGCAGGATCCATTCTGTGGAAATTTGGAACTGTGGTGGAAAGACTCGGACGACTTCACTATCTCGTAGAAATTGATGATGGGTATGTAATAAAACGCCACTTCAATCAACTTCGAGCTTGTCAAGTGCCAAAAGATTCTACTCATTACAAAAGCCCTCTACCTAGCTCATTGACACAAACAAGGCAAGAAAGTTCAAACAACCGATGCGACCCAAAAGCCAAAGTACCACCAAAGCAAACTAATCGAACTTTAATATTCCAAAATACCAATCAAAATTGTTCAAGACAACCTATATTCATGGGAAATACAAGGTACGGTATGTTAAGGAAATCAATTAGCAATTCAGAAAAGTCACAAGATACAGAAAATGTCTCAAGTAACACCCCAAGCTGGGAAGGAACTATAGACACTGAAACATCGGGTCCTACAGCAAGCACTATGCCTAATATTGAGGGAAAAAGCCCTATACATAACAATGAAGCGTCAAGTACAATCCATCGTACAAGCAGCCGACAAGAGGCCGAAGAGCCAAGTACACAACAAGACGCTGAAGTGTCCAAAGCAAACTCACAACCAGATGTTCCTGTCCCTAAAATTCGCCGCTCATTGAGAATAAGAAAACCAATTAAAAGGATGAACTTGTAAATGAACATTCTCTTAAATAAGTAGGGAGGAATTGTTATATATTCCAAATAATCTATCTTTTATTTAATATTGATCATATGACTGGAATAATTTCATATTGAAAATAATTCAATGTTTACATTTATTATTAAGAAATAAACATGTATCAAGAGTTGTGTTCATATATTTTGTATTATTTTTATATCTAATAGCTGACATAACATGTGTGGAGATTTTTTTATACTATTTGACGGTTTTTAACACAACTTGATAAAAAAACATTTCTTAAACGAATTGTAGCGCCCTTTTTATTGATTTTTCATAATTTGTTATTTAAGTCGAATTTACAAACTTTTAAATGGGTTAAGCTGTGCCATATTATACGTTTTTGATAGAAAACTTAATGACGATTCTAAAAATGCAATTGAAAATATCATTATGTAGGTTAACAGTTGAGAAACATAATATTTTATTAGGCAATGTCAAGAAATTTAGAAAAATCTAAAAATGGCTGTTGCTGGAAGTAGGAGTGAGATATAACTATACAAATTGCGTATTTTTATCGCAATTCGCGTGCATAATAATGCCTTAAAATATTTGACACTGACTACCAAACACCCTGTATAGATTAGACATATTAAACGTGAATGTGATGTCATGGATGTTAAAAAGTTAGTCATGCATGTTGCAGCTATCGCTTGTTAATGGTTCCGTGGTTTCAAGTCTTAATCTTAGACACGCCAAGTAACCATATAACTTGGTATTTCGGGTTTTTTCTATGGCCGCACGTTCGACCAGACTGTGTCTTTAACATGATCATCTTGGCGTTATCGTGTATTTCCAATTGGTTAGAAACCTACTGGGCTGTTTTAGGTTATGTCTTTTTTAGCCATGTCATGATGGTATCTAAGTACCTCTAATGTAATTCTTACTTAGATTATCGGTACCAATACGTTATCCAACATCTACTAGTACTGATTTGAAATAACCTTCCTTCAAGTTCCGACACATCTGTATGCTATAAACGGACCTTGATAAATACTGTACATTGATAGACCTATCATTGACATTGATACAACGATATATACAGTACATATACATTTATATTATTTACTCATTTCGATGCAATATTGTGACTGACAACCAATTGAGTTTCTAAATACTTGTATAGCAACATGTATGTGCGGATATAATGCGTTTCGTGATATTAAATTCGAAAAAGTGACTCTGAATTGAATTGGTGAATTTGGTTTATTATGTAAGATATACATCATCAGGTTTTGGACCATATTTGAGATTTTCAACAAATTTTAAAGATAACACACCATTAAAGAAGAAAAACCCCACCAATTCCATGCAATATTGTTATTGTTGCCTTCATTTTAGACAACGCAATGCATTTGCATTTTAAGCAATGATTGCGCGTCTTTAGGATTACGGGAGCTAAATAATATCCTGGTTTGTGAGTAATAGTACTCAAACAATGAAACAATGCATATCAGCTGATCGACACTGAGGTAAAGGATACAATAACAACTTATGAGCTTCTTTTATCCACTGCCCCTTGGTACATGTTATTAGAGTTGAGTTAAAAACCCCTGTACTTTTAATTTTGATGTTATTATGGAGGCCAACAACCATAATATTGTATTACCATTGATTACATAATATTTGACCAAGTTTTATGGAGAATAGTTATGAAAGAAATGTTAACCTTAACTCACAGTTAGTCTCACTTTCGTCTTTTGTGAGGGAAAGATCCAAACGTTGACCTACAATTTCAGGTCTACACTTAATTAGATAGCATACCAATCATACCATAAAACTGTGTCATACCAACCAATCAATGTTCTTGTACACTGAATTTTCTTCTTGTAACAAAATGGGTACAGCAGCTATTATTTCATCCCATGATATACCCGGATAGATTTTGTGTCCAAGGCTATGTCTGAAAGAAGATCAACAATCTGCCAAAGGCGAGGCGACCAACTTTTGAAGGCCATCTTGGCAGATAATAAGGGGTCTTCACGCGAAGTGAGGATTAAAATTGGTGCATTTGTCTGCGTAAATCGACACAGCCTTGGGAAATCATCGAGTCCATCTTACAAAATTGCAGGTTGTTTGAGATCTAATTAATCAAGGTTTTAGATCGAAAATTACGGATAAAAACAATGATGGTCAATCAAATGGCAAGTCGACTTTGCAAAGAATGGTGGATGAAAAAGAAATGTGTTTATTGTTAAAAAATACTTTTTACCTCAATTTAAGTTTGTTTATATCCCTAGATGTATTTAATGTGGAGTTGTTCTGCAGAAAAATTAATACTGTGACAATACATATGGCGTATGTGGTACCGTATGTTGCTCGGTGTTTGTAGAGTGAGTTTTGACACTAAATTTTTATTTATTGTTATTTCCTTTACGTAAGCTAATCTAACAGAATAGAACGATCTATTCTGAACTGCTGCTTGACTTTTTTTATAAGGTAAGAGTAAATATTCACATAGCTCAATTTACAACCAACACAGAGGGAGAATTATTTAGTCCTTTTTTAGTGCAGCACGCTCAAGCGTAATCGGAATGAAACACATTTTAACAGGTTTGTGATTTTTCAATATGATGAGAAGTCCACTTGCAGCATCCAAAGTCAATGTCATAAGCTTCAAACATAGGTCGGTTTGCTGCTACTGTTCGCCAACGTAAACAATTGATTCAGGAGCCTGTTTATAATGAAACCAGCTCATTGTTGCCTCTGGCGGTATTTGCTACGAAGTAGCCTTTGTTCTGTTGTTTTAGGAGCTTCTGTTATGCTTGGGCTACGGTTGGGAATAGACAGTAGCCATTGTATTACGTAAAATTTAATTTTAAGTATGACTAGCTTGTTACCTATCTTGAATAAAGTTTGTGAAAACTAGTCAACTACGCAGTCAAGGAAGCTTGATTAAAAATAAATAAAGGGTTAAAGTGATTGATTTCGCACATCACTAAAAGACAACACCAGCCATTTAATGAAACATTTTTTAACTCTTGATATAAATATGTTGTTTTCATAGGTTTATCTTTTCAAGTCGATACTAGTTATTAACTACTTAGTTTTGTAATTGCTCAATTTTAGAAGATGTGCAATATAGGTTTTAACTTTTAATAGTTTCCTATTTACAGGTTAAACACTTTAATACTTTTCAATGAAATAGCAACGACCATGTGAGCTAATATAATACATTGCATAACAGTGTTCATATTATTTTATTGATTAAATGTTTATGGTTTGTAATAAAACAATGTTTAAAATATAAAAATGTCTGTTTATGTTAATTAAACCCCTAAGAAGTGTGTTAAACTACTAAAACCCAAGTAACCACAACCGAGCAAGGCTCGGTCCCCCGGTACTGATCTTAAAATGAATAAAACCAGCTTGACACTAGTTTTAGTTGATAATCTGACACAACTAGAGTCTACAAACTTTTTATTAAACTTGGTGAAAGAATACCTTAGGTATGGGTTATAAATAAGTATGAAACTCTCCGACATATTGTTTATTGTATATGTCAGACATGTTTACGGCTAATTAATAACAAAAAGTTCTATACGATGTGCCAGATATGAGGGTTTTGTCACACTTTAGGTCATCCCAACATTTAAAGTAGAATTTATTGCCGTTTAACAAATGAACGCACGAGATGCATCTATGACCTTTCATGCCAAAGCCTTTATCTTTGTTAAATTTCGGAGAAAAGTACCAACCATGACATGGGTAGATAGCCGCACAAAGTGAACCTGAAACATAACCGTTATATAATTCTGTTGTTTACACTAACAAAAGACAACTTTGACATTCGTATCTATATAACAATAGCAAGTCTTTTAGCCTCAAAATAATTCCAAAAATTGCAGTATTTTAGCACTGCACATAACTTAACTCGACTAGAGATGTGTAAGCGATTTGAATTTCAACTCGAGCTGGTCCTAAAAGCCTAAAAGCTGGGTGATTGAGCACCAGTTCAGAAAGTTGAACCAAGCTGAACTTTTATCATCGCGACTGCAGCAAGCGTCTGCGAGGTTTATGTGATCAAACATTCCCGATTTTACCGAGAAAGCGGGATATGTTGATGTCTCCTCCACCACATTAGGTGTTCACAGTTTGCCGTTATCGCAGTAGCCGATGTAAGTGGGGAACCAAGTTTTTCTCGAGTTTCTTTGTTTCAAGTTTTCATTATATATAACTAGCCTCTTGATCACATTTAAAATACTTTGGAGAATACTTTCTTAAACTTTGATTGGTGAAAATACCTGCATGGATCTGATATGTTGCAGTATGGCAACTAGTCAACTCACATACGAGTCATTCTCAGGTCAGTCTTAGGATACTTCAATACTTTAATACTTTTCGATGAAATGGCAACCGTACAAAGTAGGTATTTTAAGCCAAGTATGAATGGAGATGAGTGTAGGATGTCGTCTTGCTTCATTTAAAGGTCTTAAAACCCTACTACTGGCCTGAGGATGACTCGTATATGAGTCGATTCTAGTTGTCATACCGCATCATCGATCAATATAAAAATGGAGCACGGCGTATACCAACAACTGAAGCACTGTCTTGCGGACGTTGCGGTATGCAAGACACACCAAATGTTGATAATGGCGCAAAAATTCACTGCTCTGCTTCCAAATACAAAACCCCATATCCAGCCAGTTTAGAGTAAAGGTAAATGGTTTAAACGTTGTGTGGGTAAAATCAATGATTTTGATACAATACGGTTAGTTAAAAGCTTGAAAACGACAGTTTTATTTTTTGAATATTCAAATAAGACCGTTACTTTGATATAAGTTTTGAAATCCATAAGGAGAGTGATTTTGGTTATGTCCGGCCTTTTTCGCTATGGCCATACCCACTTCTAGCCACTCGTGGTCAAATATATGTCAAATATACAGGGTGAATATCATACGTTGACCAGCCATTATTTATTTAATAATTAAATTAAAAATCCCTTACCAAATCAACAAACACCAAGGAACAACTTAAAAATGATGAATGATATTTGCATAGATGATGTACCAAAAACAAAAGGTTCACTAGTTTAAATCTCCCAATTATAAAATACATGGAGATATCTCAACTATGAACAAACCTTTGTATTACTTATAAGTTAAGCTTTGACTCGTCTGCAATACTACAACAATATCATAAAAACATTTCAATTTTTTTTAATATTCACAGTAGCCTAGTTACATAGCCTAACAAAAAAATAAAATAACGTCAAAGAGCGTATCATTTTAAAGGCATGGCAAGTCCAAGGAGCTTCCAATTGCAAACATTATTCATAAATCTTTTAGTTTTCGAGTTATCAACTAAAACATAATTTACAATTACAATTAAAAATATATATCGATGGCTAAAGAGATAAAAACGACCTTGTATAACATTTGGAGAACGACCTTGAATGACAAGTGTTTCATGTGAGAAAAACGTGTTTTTAGTTTATTACAAAATCAACTTGCACGACCTTGTATAACGTTTGGAGAACGACCTTGAATGACATGTGTTTCATGTGAGAAAAACGTGTTTTTAGTTTATTTCAAAATCAACTTGCAGGCCGTTTGAAATACTGACATTATTTTGCATAGTTGTGGACAAAATTTATTTGCAATTTTATTTATATAGATGTATATTTTTATAAATTAGCCATATGTTGGCAACAGCAGGGAATAGCTCTTACAATAATCTTTAATTTTAAATACTGAAGATGAAATGTATTAATCATTTTGAAAGTTACCATAGAATCTAAAGATTTGCAAAGCCATGCAAAAGATTACTACAACAGATGTTGTGGTGGTATAACAGGGGGGCTACCTATAGCCTAGTCAATGGAAACAATAAAATTTTTCGCATTTAAATGGTGGAAAGCTGGATTTTTGTATATGTGATAGCCCCACATGAAAGGTGTATTTTCCATAAAGTTCCAAATTCTACCACCCCCTGAGCTTTTCCCCCACCACTTTCCAAACCTATAAATTGCAGTGTTTTACTTAATTGGTCATAAGTCGAATACTATGTACCCTATCGTATTGAAATTTGTTTTGTTTTATTTCTTAACATACAAATCAAACATACATAAATACATCTCTAATTTCAACGTCCCATCATCAAATGAAGACTACAACTCTGAGCTCAACATAATAAAACAAATTGCATATAATAACGGCTATAGCCCCAACATCATAAGCAAGCTCATATGGTGGTATATAAGAATAAACAAAACAAAAAAGACCACCCCACCCTCAAAAACAATTTGTTCCGGTGACAAAGGGTATCGAATTGCTTACCAAGAATTATTATTATCCAAGAATAGTCTAGCCCAAATCTCCAACAAACCAAAACACAGAAATGAAAAAGATTACAACATATCGGGGGTAAATAAACTCAAATGTGCTACTTGCCCAAAATATATTGGTCAAACGGGCCGAAGTTTCAAAGTCCGTTGCAAGGAGCACCTTCCCAAAAACTCCAATACAAACCCATCTACATACGCCGAACACCTCATAGACAATAACCATTCATATTCTACCATAGATCAAGACCTCGAAGTTTTACATAAAGGCCCAAAAAATAATAAGTTGGATATAATCGGAAAATTTCATATATATATAGCAACACCAAGTCCAACCCTTTTGAAATCCTCAACGACCAGCGCAACTTTTCAGCAAACATAATTTTCGACACATAACTGAAAACAAATAATCAATCAAACAATTGTCCGCCTCGACCCAAATACAATCAAGACCAGAATCTTTTCAATTCGTAGTCCACATAACCTGCAATCCCGATGAGTTTGACAGTTGCCGGCAACAGGTTCTCTAACTAAAACGAGGTTATCCCACACTATGAAAACCATTGAGATAAATAGATTATATGAAAACCATGGTTTTTATCCTAATTACTTTACTATTTTCGTGTCCACTATGACTTGTATTGTGTTAAATGTTATGAAAGTTTCTACGACACCCAAAGGGTGAATTCTACTATAAAAATTTGGTCAACCTAGACTCCGACTGATGATGGACCTTCCGGCCCGTAATTAATTTCGGATTGATAAAATATAATTGCTAAGGTAAGGCCTTATAATATCAATTAATTATTAAAATATTAATTGAATATTCTGATTTGAGCTAACTAAAGTGAACAATTATTTCTATGGAATATTAGCATTTACTATATATACCTATATACAGGGTGGCTGGTCATCAGTGTCACAAAAATTTTTTGGCGTAAGCACAAAGTAAATGCAGTGTAATGATGCATATAAAAGGTTCCAAGTCCAAAAATTAGCTTCCCAAAGAATTATTTCATGTTTTTCAAAAATAACTATGTTTTCAAACTTAATACAGCTATTTCTCAGTTACCTGTAAATGGATTTGAGTAGACAATGTCATTTTCGTGTTCTACATTAAATTTTGAATAAGAATAATATAAAATGACGGAGTATCAGTTGTAAAAACTCCATTGTAAATAGATTCAAAGATAAAAATTAAGATGTTTGAAAAACATTTAAAAAACATTGGTCTATTGTATTTTTTCACACCCTGTATACAAGAAAGTGTCCGAATATGTTTAAAACTGCGCCATTTTATAAGCTTTCCAACCATATGCTACACTATTGAGGTTTAGAAATTCTGTTGTTTGTTTTAGTGGTTTGAATACCAGAAAACAGGGTGTCTTTAACATTTAAAACATAGAAAGCCGGTATGTATTAAGCAAAAGTTGTATTTTTGTTTCAGCTTTAACAGTAAAAACAGTAAAAAAGTTCCCTGTTTTATGGTATTCAAACCACTAAAACAAACAACAGAATTTCTAAACCTCAATAGTGTAGCATATGGTTGGAAAGCTTATAAAATGGCGCAGTTTTTAACATATTCGGACACTTTCTTGTATACAGGGTGTGAAAAAATACAATATACCAATGTTTTTTAAATTTTTTTCAAACATCTTAGTTTTTATCTTTGAATCTATTTACAATGGAGTTTTTACAACTGATACTCCGTCATTTTATATTATTCTTATTCAAAATTTAATGTAGAACACGAAAATGACATTGTGTACTCAAATCCATTTACAGGTAACTGAGAAATAGCTGTATTAAGTTTGAAAACATAGTTATTTTTGAAAAACATGAAATAATTCTTTAGGAAGCTAATTTTTGGACTTGGAAACTTTTATATGCATCATTACACTGCATTTACTTTTTACTTACGCCAAAAAATTTTTGTGACACTGATTACCAGCCACCCTGTATAGTCAATGATATTAGATAACTCTAACATAAGCCTAGCAGACGTAGCCTAGCAAAAAATATATTTTCTTTGGCAGTGTGTATAGGTAGTTGGCCTAGACAAGCCTTGATCGTTAAACATATTAAAACGATGATTAAATTATTCTCAAACTATCTAGGCGTATTTGAAATTATAATGATTATGATTTAGACTTCAAGAATTGGTTATTTCATGTTAGTCAAAGGGTACAATTAACCGTGTTAGTTTTAAGATGTTTCCATAATAGATCAAATTGTGGTTTATACTGAAGAGATGTTTTTATTGGCTTTTCTTTTAATAAAAACTGTGAGTTCACATCAAACCTACAATTTAATTAGATTTCTGCCCCTTTGAGCAAATGTAGCTTGTTGGCCTAGTCTAAACAATGATAAATAGTGTTAAATAAATAAATAGTGATAAACAAATTGTGTTATAAAAATACACGTTTTACATAATGAGTTAGAATATAGAGTTTCCACAACCACTTCTGATATGTTTTTGAGGAAGTAAATATTCTAAGGTCTTTTGTTACTCTGATATTCAATAAACAAAGTAGATGTGTTTATAGTATTGCATACAGTTGACCAGTAATTTAGCCTGACCCATCGCTTATCACAATCCATATTTCTAAAGCTAATGGAATAATCATAAATAATTAAAAACACACATTTATAATATGTAGCCTACTTACACATCACAAGCAGGAGAATCACCTTGATCAAGTACATTATGTGGCATGTGTGAAGATACTCGACAATATGTGATGATGTTGCAAGAGTACAGCTTCTGGCAAATGAAAATTACTCTAATTAGATTGTGAACTTACATACATTTTTGGATCATTAGATTATTAACCTATATCTAACTTATGTGACTTGCCTGTGCTATAATGATAATTGCAGTCATTAGTCATGATCGCGAAAACTGTAACACATTTTGTAAGTAATTTGTGAAATGAACCACCAGATACCATCATTGAAATTGTTTAAGAAATATAATATTTAACTTAATATTTTACATTCTGTAGAGCTAAATTATTAGGTCGTTTGATCGACTCGCAACAATCTCTAGCATAATTTAAAATATCCCATATTAACAGTAAAAATAATGCTGAGATTAGGCTATTAATCTTCTGGTCGTGTTTCTAACAGTCAGTCTTTTATTCTTGTCCCCAGAGGACATCATCATGTCCAGAGGACTTATATATTTAGGTTTTTGTGTGTGTGTCCGTTAGCACGGTAAACTCGAGCAAAAATGATCCGATTTCGATTAAATTTGGTACACACGTGTATACCTACGTTTATTCGAACGAGTTCGCGAACCAGCATGATCGGACTATGGGAACGGGGTTTTATGGGGGCATTTATGGTGTAAATTAGGGTTTTCTCGTTTTTGACCCTCAAAAAATAATATTTATAAAAAAACTACTAGTCCAGCAGCTAGCTATACTTTAGTGTGCAAACTTGCGTATACTCAATATTCTTGCATAACGTTTTAGTTTGATGTCTAGGGAGTTTAAAAAACCTGGGTGTTTACCTCCTACCCCCCACGTTTTCCGGCTATGACGTAATCAAAATGGCGGCCATTGATTTTTAAAAAGCGTAGCCTATATTTCGCAAACTATTTGTCGGATCGGAATGAACTTTTTTTTATTTGAAAGATAAGTTTAAATGCTATCTGTTTTACATTTACACATTTGTTGTACGTTTAAGAAGTTTTTCGTAATTTTGCAAAAACCTGTATTTTTTAATATTTTTGTGTTATTTTTGTTTGTAACGTTTTATTGATACAGTATATCAAAAACCACCAATGGAAAAAGTTGTAGATCATTTAAAAAGCTTTACAAAAATACCAAATTCGATATGTTTTACTCAAAATATTACGTCAGGAAACTAGATAAATCTCATAAAAACACCTATTTTGGCGCAAAAACGCCTATTAGTTCGGCATCTAGGGCAGTGCACAAGTCTTATATAGACAGTTTTACTATTCAATGTTGATCTATGTGTCTAAATAAGTGTTTTCAACTTGGGTGTCACTTCTGCACCCACTGCAGTTTCCGGTTATGACGTCATCAAAATGGCGGAAAGGGCTATATTAAAAATAACTATATTTTACATACCATGTATCGGATCGGAATGAACTTTTTTTTGTTTGAAAGATAAGTTTACATGCTATCTTTCATACGTTTACACTTTTGTTGTATGTTAAGTGCATTTTTCGTAATTTTGCAAAAACCTATATTTTTAAATATTTTGGTGTTATTTTTGTTGATTACGTTTTATTGATACAATATATCAGAAATAACTTAAAGAGAAGGTTGTAGCACGTTAAAAGGGCTTTACAAAAATACCGAATTCGATATGCTTTACTCAAAGGATCACGTCAAGAAACTAGAAAAATCGTACAAAACAACCTAATTTGGCGCAAAAACTCATATAAATCCGACATCGATGGCTGTGTACGAGTCATATATAGACAGTTTTACCACTCAATGTTGATGTATGTGTCTATAGAAGTGTTTTTAACTCGGGTGTCACGTCTGGACCCACTGCAGTTTCCGGTTATGCTGTCTTGAAAATTGCTACATGTTACGATTTCACCAACTATTTTACTTAAAATAAGACCATTACCCCCTTTTATGCAAATAAAAGCACAACAAATCAATGTAATTAGTCCATAGGAATGTTCCCACTATATAAATACCCCGGGTGCAGCAATCCTGTTGACTAAGCGAATTTCCATTTGCCTGGGTTGATTTTCAATTAATCTATTAAATTAACATTGTTTAAGAGTGCCTAGGTTTGCTGCTAAAGGGAAACTAATAAAGTGTTTTTTTTATTAAAATATTAATGGCTTAGTGTTGGATAAATAAATCTGCCAAGTTTGATCAAAATATATCCATAAACAAGCCAACTAGGGCCCAACTACATTTACAATATTGTCCGTAAAAATAACATTGGAATTTTAAATGAAAAATGTTTTTATTTTCTCCTTAACCAATAACCGTACAAAACGCTTTTACATACTACATTATTTGTTTTTTGAAGGTCTTTCAAAAGGTTCGGAGAAAAATTGATAAATTTTGTGTTATAAGGGTAAAAGAAGAGAAAATCCCATTTTAGTCCCATAAAACCCCTCTTTGAACTCCGTTCCTATGGTCCAATCACGCTGGTTTGCGAAATTATCCAAATTTATCCCGCCTTACACCTTCAAACCAAATTACATCGAAATCATACTCAAGTCAAAAGTAACTCAAGTTATCGTCTCTACGAACACACAGCGTTTATATTCTTCCCTTTTTCACCTTATTTTGAACACAGAGGTCTATACTGGAAGTCTAAGTTATTCATATACGAACAATTGAACGTGTTATTTACGAATAGTGATAAAACAATATATTATAGGCCTAATATCCTAAATTTAATCCTAAGCAAAAGCTTAGCTAGTAGCAAGCAATATCACTATTGGCCAATTAAGTTAAGTTGTAACTTATTTAATTAATTGGCATGCTACCTAAGTATCAGACGGGTGAAAAAAAAACAATCAGGACAGTTATAAATTTAGTTGTACTTGATAGGTATTCAACAATGTGTATTTTTTACAGTCCATTGGTTGTGTGCTAAGTAAATACTTTTTCCTAAAGATACCTAACAATTTACATGCAGACAAGATCGTATGCGCGCGAAATACGTTGGCAGCACTGGCTGTAAATCAGCTGGTCAGCTGTTATACTGTTGTATCATTAAATGTCATATTAAAAGTTCACTTCTGTGTAAAAATATGTTACGTTTCTTTACGGTAACTGTAAGAAAAATATAATGTGCAACTCGAGTGCAAAGTGCAATTGCCTCACTCGAGAGACCATTCCTCACTCGCCTACGGCTCGTGAGTAAGTATTTCTCTCGAGTGAGTCAATCGCTCCCTTTGCTCACTAGTTGCACAAATAACTATTGTCTTTTAATAATAAAGATGTTTATTAAGTTAATTTGTATATTTATTTACGACAGAATCAAGTACTTTTGCACTATTAGTTGGACACAAATGGTGGAAGGCAGTTACGTGATTTTGAAAAGCACATGTTAGCAAATTTTCCACATTTGAAAGTAGCTATTATCGCAAGTCTCATGGTAATACCTAGGTCCGGGACCGTTTAAATTTTTTATTTTGATATCCCCAGAGGCCAAAAACCTGTGTGTTCAAATGTTAGATTGTTAGATGAAATTGGGTTTGAAGGTGTAAGGCGGGATAAATTTGGATAATTTCGCAAACCAGCGTGATCGGACCATAGGAACGGAGCTCAAAGAGGGGTTTTATGGGACTAAAATGGGATTTTCTCTTTTTTTTACCCTTATAACACCAAATTTTTTAATTTTTCTCCGAACCTTTTGAAACACCCTTGAAAAACAAATAATGTAGTATGTAAAAGCGATTTTGTACGGTTATTGGTTAAGGAGAAAATAAAAACATTTATTTCATTTAAAATTCCAATGTTATTTTTATGGACAATATTGTAAATGTAATAGTTGGCTTGTTTATGGATATATTTTGATCAAACTTGGCAGATTTATTTATCTAACACTAAGCCATTAATATTTTAATAAAAAAACCACTTTATTAGTTTCCCTTTAGCAGCAAACCTAGGCACTCATAAACAATGTTATTTTAATATATTAATTGAAAAATCAATCCAGGAAAATGAAAATTCGCTTAGTCGAAAGGATTGCTGCATTGGGGGTATTTATATAGTGGGAAACTTCCTATGGACTAATTACATTGATTTGTTGTGCTTTTATTTGCATAAAAGGGGGCAATGGTCTTATTTTAAGTAAAATAGTTGGTGAAATCGTAACATGTAGCAATTTTAAAGACATCATAACCGGAAACTGCAGTGGGTCCAGACGTGACACCCAAGTTAAAAACACTTCTATAGACACATACATCAACATTGAATGGTAAAACTGTCTATATATGACTCGTACACAGCCATCGATGTCGGATTTATATGAGTTTTTGCGCCAAATTAGGTTGTTTTGTACGATTTTTCTAATTTCTTGACGTGATCCTTTTAGTAAAGCATATCGAATTCGGTATTTTTGTAAAGCCCTTTTAACGTGCTACAACCTTCTCTTTAAGTTATTTCTGATATATTGTATCAATAAAACGTAATCAACAAAAATAACACCAAAATATTTAAAAATATAGGTTTTTGCAAAATTACGAAAAATGCACTTAACATACAACAAAAGTGTAAACGTATGAAAGATAGCATGTAAACTTATCTTTCAAACAAAAAAAAGTTCATTCCGATCCGATACATGGTATGTAAAATATAGTTATTTTTAATATAGCCCTTTCCGCCATTTTGATGACGTCATAACCGGAAACTGCAGTGGGTGCAGAAGTGACACCCAAGTTGAAAAAAAAGTTGTAAAACTGTCTATATAAGACTTGTGCACTGCCCTAGATGCCGAACTAATAGGCGTTTTTGCGCCAAAATAGGTGTTTTTATGAGATTTATCTAGTTTCCTGACGTAATATTTTGAGTAAAACATATCGAATTTGGTATTTTTGTAAAGCTTTTTAAATGATCTACAACTTTTTCCATTGGTGGTTTTTGATATACTGTATCAATAAAACGTTACAAACAAAAATAACACAAAAATATTAAAAAATACAGGTTTTTGCAAAATTACGAAAAACTTCTTAAACATACAACAAATGTGTAAATGTAAAACAGATAGCATTTAAACTTATCTTTCAAATAAAAAAAAAGTTCATTCCGATCCGACAAATAGTTTGCGAAATATAGGCTACGCTTTTTAAAAATCAATGGCCGCCCTTTTG